CCGGTGCTGTAGCTCAGCGGGTTAAAACCCTGGCCTGAAGCACCGGCATCCCATATGGGTGCCGGTTCTAGTCTTGGATGCTCCTCTTCCAATCCCGCTCTCTGCTATGACCTGGGAAAGCAGTAGAAGATGGCCAAATCCTTGGGCCCCTGCACCCGCATGGGAGACCAGGAAGAAGCTCCTGGCTCCTGCCTTCTGATCAGCGCAGCTCTGGCTGTTGTGGCCAATTGGGGAGTGAACCAGTGGATGGAAGACCTCTCTCTTTGCCTCTACTTCTCTCTCTGTGTAACTCTGACTTTCAAATAAATAACTAAAATCTTAAAAAAAAAAAAAAAAAAAGAAAAATGTAGCTCAGGAGCTGGCCTTGTGACTTAGCAGACTTAGCAAGTAAAGCTGCTGACTGCAATGCTGGCATCCCACATGGGCACTGGTTCTTGTCCTGGCTGCTCCACTTCACATCCAGCTCCATGCTCATGTCCTGGGAAAAGCAGTGGATTATGGCCCAAGTGTTTGGGCCCCTGCACCACTTGGGAGACCCAGATGAAGTTTCTGGTTCCTGGCTTCTGCCTGGCTCATCACTGGCCATTGTGGCCATCTGGGGAGTGAACCAGCCAATGAAGATATTTCTCTCTCTCTCTCTCTCTGTATCTCCCTCTGTCTTGTTAGCTTTGACTTTTAAAATAAATAAATCTTAAAAAATAAAGCAAAAGAAATGTATCCCAGGCTGGGCACTGTGTCACAGTGTGCTTGTGCCCTAGCTATTCCTCTTGACTGTTTCCTGATGATGTGCCTGGGAAGGCAGCAAATGATGATGACCCACGTGCTTGAGTTCCTGCCAACCATGTGAGAGGCCCGGATGGAATTCCAGGCTCCTGGCTTTGCCCTGCTGTTGTGCACATTTTGCCCCCTCACCCACCCCTCCTGTCTTTTTCTGTTTTTCAAATAAAAATAAGTCTTAAAATAAAATAAACAAAGAAAGAAATGCAGCTGAGATACCCTTTCCTTGTTTTTAGAGAATTTTTTTCTTTAGTTCTTTAGAAAGTGTCTCAGGTAAGTTTATATTTATATAGATATACAAATTGCTAATTAAAAATCAGAGTTTTTGAGTTACTGAGGTTGGAGTTACTACTGTATTATGAACATTTTTGTAATATTCATGAAAATATCCACACTATTAAAGCATTTTTAAGAGAATTTTCACTGTATTAAAGTTTACAGTGCACATTTTTATTCTCCCTCCCCTAACACAATGTGTGTTAAGACAGCACATCTCTTTTATCCAGGAAAATTGATAAAGAAATTAAATTTATTTATGAACTTACCTTTTTATACTCTTAACAGTTCAAGATTTTTGATTTTCTAAAAATTTAGTTTTTTTTAAGATTGTTATTTGAAAGGAAGAAAGAGCTTTTTTTTTTTAACTTTTATTTAATGAATATAAATTTCCAAAGTACAGCTTATGGATTACAATGGCTTCCCCCCAATAACGTCCCTCCCACATGCAACCCTCCCCTCTCCCACTCCCTCTCCCCTTCCATTCACATCAAGATTCATTTTCGATTCTCTTTATCTACAGAAGATCAGTTTAGCATACATTAAGTAAAGATTTCAACAGTTTGCTCCCACACAGAAACATAAAGTGAAAAATAATAGATGATTTTTTAAATGATGATGAAATCAGATCAGACCTATTGTCATGTTTAATCCCAGTGAGAGTCAAGTTGGGAATTGATAATTTCTTCTTCTTCTTCTTCTTCTTCTTCTTCTTCTTCTTCTTCTTTTTTTTTTTTTTTACAGAAGATCAGTTTAGTATACATTAAGTAAAGCTTTCAACAGTTTGCACCCCATAGAAACACAAAGTGAAATATACTGTTTGAGTACTCGTTATAGCATTAAGTCTCAATGTACAGCACACTAAGGACAGAGATCCTACATGAGGAGTAAGTGCACAGTGACTCCTGTTGTTGACTTTACAAATTGACACTCTTGTTTATGGCTTCAGTAATCTCCCCATGCTCCAGTCATGAGTTTCCAAGCCCTCTGAGTTCTCTGACTCTTATCTTGTTTAGACAAGGCATAGTCAAAGTGGAGGTTCTCTCTTCCCTTCAGAGAAAGGTACCTCCTTCTTTGAAGACCTGTTCTTTCCACTGGGATCTCACTCACAGAGATCTTTCATTTTTTTTTTTTTTTTTTTTTTTTTTTTGCCTGAGTGTCTTGGCTTTCCATGCCTGAAATACTCTCATGGGCTTTTCTGCCAGATCCGAATGCCTTAAGGGCTGATTCTGAGGCCAGAGTGCTGTTTAGGACATCCACCATTCTATGAGTCTGCTGAGTATCTCACTTCCTATGTTGGATCACTCTCCCCTTTATTTATTCTATCGGTTAGTATTAGCAGGTACTAGACTTGTTTATGTGCTCCCTTTGACTCTTAGTCCTTTCATTATGATCAATTGTGAACTGAAATTGATCACTTGGACTAGTGAGATGGCATTGGTACATGCCACCTTGATGGGATTGAATTGGAGTCCCCTGGTATGTTTCTAACTCTACCATTTGGGGCAAGTCAGCCTGAGCATGTCCCAAATTGTACATCTGGAAGAAAGAGCTTTTAAAAGACTTATTTGTTTATTTGAAAGAGTGTCAGAGAGAGGGTGAAATACAGAGCAGGTGTAGAGATACAGGAAGAGGAAGATTGAGAGCTCTCCTGTTTGCTGGTTCACTCCTCAAATGGCCGGAACCAGACCAAAGCTAGGATTCCAGAACCCCATCCAGGTCTCCCCCGTGGGTGGCAGGCTCCCCAAGTACTTGAGCCATGTTCCACTGCCTTCTCAGGTGCTTTTACAGTGACTTGGATCTGGAGCAGAGCACTTAGAACTGGAACCAGTACTCTGATATGGGGTGCTGACATGGCTACTGGTAGTCCAACCAGCTACACACTCCCCAAATGTCCATGGTAGTCTGGGCTGGGTCAGGCCAAATCCAGGTCTCCCACATGGGTGACGGGGACCCAAGTACTTGATCCATCATCTGCTTCCTCCCAGGGCTTGCATTCATAGGAAGCTGGATTGGAAGCAGAGGTCGAATTCTATACCAGTCCGTCTGACAGAGACAGACAGACAGAAAGGTTTTCCATGTGCTGGCTCACTTCCCAAATGTTTGCAGTGGCCCCTGCCTAGGGCCAAAGCTGGAAGCCGAGAGCTCAATTCACAGCTTCTACGTGGGTGTCAGGACCCAATCACGTGAGCATCACTGTTCTGTCCCAGAGTCTACATTTGCAGAAAGCCAGAATGAAATGCAGGAGCTGGATATTGAATATGGGTACTCTTGATCTTGATATGTGGCCTTGTCTTGACTAGTAGGCCAAGCACCTATCCCTTACTATGCTCTTAAATATATATTTAAAATTCTTTTATGCTGCAGTCAGCTCCTGGAGAGAAGTGCTACCTGCCTTTACTTCTTCATTTTTAAAATCTCTACCAGTATGTAATTAGTTTCCATCATAGAGAGGATCCTCACATGTCTAATTCATGCAGCAGTGAGTCCCTTCTATAGAGTCAGGCTCCCTGTAGGCAAGGATCTTCTACTTTTTCCTGCTTCTGGCACATCACCTTCTGACCCAGGCTCTGTGCACACTTAGGGAACGGACGAATGAGAAACTACCTTGAATTCTGAAAGCAACTTTGTTTGGTCAGTCACCAGACCGTAGGTCTAGCTACAGCAGCATGAGGCATTGTGGAGAGATGCAGAATTAACATAGAGGGAGTCGCAGGAGGGTTGTAAAGCGAGCTGTGGTAAGTGTGGACAGCAGGACTGTGATGACCGTTACATCCGTGAGCTCCGGAGCTGGCCTGGGGTGTAGGATTTGTGACTTTCCAGTGGAGGATTCCAGAAACCTGTTTCTGTCTGCTGTAGGGGTGTATCTCTATGGCTGCTGGTGCCATTGCCGCTGGCTTCCTGTTCACATGGCTGTTTGGGGTTCCAGTCTCAGGAGTTGTTCTTGGAGTGTTTTTTCCCATCATGGCCTCCATTTTCTCTGCTGCTACTTCCCTCATGAAATTCCCTTTCATTTCCCAACCACTGCAGCCCTCTGGAGGCAGAATCCAGGTACTTTCTAGCGGTTTCGCTGCACCATCGTTGTAGTAACTGCAGGTGGCCTGTGATGGCCTTAGGTTGCGAATGGCCTGTTTACAGTATTTACCATCTTGCCCCTCTCTGCAGGATTTCATAGTCTTCTCTCTAAGATGTTGCACTAAAAAGGCTCTACACAAATAAGGGCCATCTCACGAGCAAATCGGAGGAGAGTCATACCGTTTGCTTCTTAGTTTTGTACGATCCTTGAGGAATGTAAAGATGGAACTAAAACTAAGGACGTTTTAGTTACTCAGTTTTTTGTTTAATAGAAAATACACTGCAAATTTAATTAGCTTTTTTATTACATTTCAGAAAATACTCATTGTGGTTTTTTTTATGATTTTTAATTTATTTATTTGAGAGGTAGAGTTAGACAGACAGACAGACAGAAAGGTCTTCCATGTGCTGGTTTGCTCCCCAAATGGCTGGAGTGGCTGGAGCTAGGCCAGTCTGAAGCTGGGAGCCAGGAGCCTCCTCTGAGTCTCCCATGTGGGTGCAGGGGCCCAAGCACTTGGGCCATCTTCCACTGCTTTGCCAGGTCATAACGGAGAGCCGGATCGGAAAAGGAGCAGCCAGGATTAGAACTGGCATCCATGTGGATTGCCGACGCCGTAGGCAGAGGCCCAGCCTACTATGCCACAGCACTGGCCCTGTGGTTTGTGTGTGTGTGTAATTGTTCATACTAAAATAGTAAACCTCTTTGTAACATAGACCAATATGTAATTTTATTTAATATGGGATCAGTTCTTAGTGATATTTCGAATTCTTCAAGTATAATATTAGATGTGCACAATTTAATCTAACACTGAATTTTGACTTGTCTGTTATTCCTACTTAAGAGAAAATTAACACCCATATCTTTCTTGCAGGCAGTAACAGAGAAGAATTTTGAAACAAAGGATTTCCGAGCCTCTCTAGAAAATGGTGTTCTGTTGTGTGAGTAAGTATTTCAAGCATGTGGAAAATAATTTAAAGATGTGTGTGTTTGTGTGTGTGTGTGTGTGTGTACGTTTGTGTAATGAGATGTCTTTACTTCCCGTTTCCCCATCAGATGAGATTTGATCCCTGTAAATTGATACCCCTACAGAATGAGACAGTAGGAAGGGTTATCAGTCTCTGTATCTAAAGATAATGTGGGTGAAATATATATTATTTTTAATTAGTAAACAAGAACGATTCTATGATTGCTTGATGGGCCACTAGGGGAGGATAGTTGAGGAGGAAGGCTTATTATATTTCACCACCTCGCTTAGGCTGAACATTCTTACATGTGGAATTGCCTGGTTTAGAAATTAATACGAAACTTCTTCATCAGTTAATTGTGATGATTGAAATAGCACATCTGTTTTTATAGCTTTACTTGGAGTCACTGCATTACCAAAAATCAATTTGAGTCGTGGATCATTCATTCAATTAATAAATCTCATCAAGAATCACTTCCCAGGCTTTCGTTACCATAAGTGAAATATACTGGTGCTATGAATGGTGGTGTAAGGCTGGCATTGTATGTTTAGTACTGTGTCTTGTACCGCAAAGGGTGCATTGTAGAGTTAGCCAAGTATATGACCATTCCAGGTAATGGACAGGCAGGCCTATGGGGTATAAGAATGAAATGCTGGGTGAGGGTACAGTTTGCAGAAATGAGCAATTGAATTGTAAGTATGTACTTGTACTTTATGTGCTTGTTTTTTCATGTTTGAAAAAACACTGAATTATTTCAGTTTGGACACTTATCCCGTAGGTATTTATGGAATCTCTCCACATACAAGCCTTGGGAGTGTATGTGCTCTTACCTGGATGGTTTTGGTTCTCCTTTTGAAGGATGTTCTTTGTAGCAAAGATCTGGAGTCAAGAGGCCCAGAGGTTAGATTCCTTGTTCCATTACTTGTGGACCTTTGAACAAGTACCTTAACATTTGTGCACATTTGAGCAAGTGACAACATTTGAGCCTCATTTTCTCATCTGTGAAGTGGAGACCAGGGTATCTGATCTGCCTAGTTCACAAGGGTTGAACCTGAGTTCAGTAATACATGTATAAAGGTTTGTATAAACTCTCACTCTATGTAGAAACACAGGTTGTTGCTAGAACGCAGTCATGTCACTAGTATTCTCTGTCTCATCAGCTCTGTTGGCAGGTGCTCAGACTTGCTTGTTTCAGAGTTTTATTAATTTATCACATGTGAGTTGCTGCTGTTCAATCATTTGAGATCTACAGAAATTCCAGTTGCTGTCGTTCCCCGTCTTCGTGGAGGAACGACACTAAACCCTTCGCTGTTCTTTCGTCTGCTCGGCCCTCCCCGGGTTTGCTGCTGGTTCTTCCCGGGTTGGCTACTGTCCCTTCCACCTCCGTGGAAGGGCGGTTCCCCCTGCCACATTCCCCACTTCCGCAGGGGAGCGGCACACCGCCGGCTGGCTCTCTCGGGGGCTGCACAGGTGTTCCCCTTAGATGTTCCCCTTAGATGTTCCTGGTGCATGCCGTCTCTCTCCTCCTTTATAGTCCTCCTCCGCCAATCCTAACTCGGCTGCCCACACGCCGAGTACGCTGCTCTCCTCCAATCAGGAGCAAGTCCTACAGTTTATTGGTTGAACTGGAGGCAGCTGTGTAGAAGCTGTTTTCTTCTCTCCCAGCGCCATATTGTGGGAGAGCAGGTGCATAGAATAAGTCTTAATTCCAGTAACAGTCTAGTCCGAGCTGCTCCCCACAGATCCCCCTTTCTTTTTATTTTTTGGCGTTGATACGCGCCTGTCTTCGGTGTCCCGCGGCACACACTCTGCTCTACTTGCTAGAGTTGCCACAGGTTCTTACAAGTCCTATCAATCAGGCAAACCGAATACGGGTCCTCTCTTCGCTATGTTGTGAGGAGGTTTTTAGGCGCTGATGCGTGCCTGTGTTCGGTGCCCTGCAGCGCATGCTCTGCTCTGCCTGCAGGGGCTTACAAGCCCTAACAATCAGGCAAACCGAATCCAAGCCTTCTCATTGCCGTATTGTGGGGGAGACTTATTGGTGTTAATTCGTGCCTATCTTCGGTGACCTGCAGCTCATACTCTGGTCGAGCTGCCTACTGGTGCTTATCGCCTTACTAATCAGGCAGACCAAATCTAAGCCTTCTCATTGCTGTGTTGTGGGGAGGCCTTATTGATGTTAATTCGTGCCTGTCTTCGGTGACCTGCGGCGCATAAGCTGCTAGCCGCCCGCAGGTGCTCACCGCTTTCCTAATCAGGCAGACCGAATCCAAGCCTTCTCATTGCAGTATTGTGGGGAGGCCTTTCTATTTCTCTCTTTCTCTATCTCTGGGCATTCCTATTTCTCCCATTTTACTTCTGTCTGCCAACATTCCTATTTCTCTCATTTTACTTTTAAACTTTTGTTTCTCTTATCCCTGCGGCCTCCCGGCGCCCGCCCCGAGGCTGCTTCTCGGCGGCTTTCCGGCTCTGAGCCGCTTCAGCCCGCGCCTCTCTCATCTGCGCGGCTTCGCACTAGCCCAGCGTTCCCTATCTACTTGAGCCCCGCACGCTCTGTCTGCGCGCGGCAGCCTCCGCGAGTCACACAGCGTAGCTTACGTCTCCGCCACTAGCATTCAATCCAAGTTCCCCGGGCTAGCCTGGCGAATTCAACCCAGCTTACGTCTCCGCCCCACGATTTGGCTTCCCGTCCTTTGCTCCCCGGGCTAATCAGACGGATCCCAATCTGGCTTACGTTTCCGCTTCTGGTTTCAACTTTTCGCCCCCTATTCCCGGGCTAACTTGAGAATCCCAAAGTGGCTTTCGTCTCCGCCTCGGCCTGCCCCCCGCGGCTTCAATTTCCCTAACATTTTTCTCTACCCGGTATGTTTCCCCAAGCTTTCCTCCAACAATACTCCTCCCTCATTTCTCCTGGCCTCTCCCCACAGTCCGCATCCGAGTCTGTTTGTTCTAGCTTTCACTTTCGCTTTCGACCTTAGAGATTTCTCCCAGCTTCCCCCCGTAGTCCGTATCTGAGTCTATGCCTAGGCTTTCAATAGCTCCTTCCGGCACCTTTTTCGTCCGGCTTTTCCCTAGGCTGTTTGCTAGTCTCTCTCTCCGGTAATTTCCCACTTCTTCCCGTTTCTTCCCGCTTCTTCCCTCCTAGGTTTCCTATCCGAGTCACGGCACCATTATGTCGTTCCCCGTCTTCGTGGAGGAACGACACTAAACCCTTCGCTGTTCTTTTGTCTGCTCGGCCCTCCCCGGGTTTGCTGCTGGTTCTTCCCGGGTTGGCTACTGTCCCTTCCACCTCCGTGGAAGGGCAGTTCCCCCTGCCACATTCCCCACTTCCGCAGGGGAGCGGCACACCGCCGGCCGGCTCTCTCGGGGGCTGCACAGGTGTTCCCCTTAGATGTTCCCCTTAGATGTTCCTGGTGCATGCCGTCTCTCTCCTCCTTTATAGTCCTCCTCCGCCAATCCTAACTCGGCTGCCCACACGCCGAGTACGCTGCTCTCCTCCAATCAGGAGCAAGTCCTACAGTTTATTGGTTGAACTGGAGGCAGCTGTGTAGAAGCTGTTTTCTTCTCTCCCAGCGCCATATTGTGGGAGAGCAGGTGCATAGAATAAGTCTTAATTCCAGTAACAGTCTAGTCCGAGCTGCTCCCCACAGTTGCCTATAATAGTTTTACGTAATAGATATCAAGACAGCCTGTATAGAAGGATCACAAATTTTAAAGGGTATTTTCTGTCCTTTTCCTATGTCATATTCAGAATACTTGTCAAATAGCATTTAAACTAATTTAAGTAGGCCACATGGTCAGCCCAGTTGTTCATGATGGGAAATTATTTTTATTTAGAACATAGTGTAATTTCTTTTTTTAATTTATTTGACGGGTAGAGTTATAGACAGTGAGAGAGAGAGACAGAGAGAAAGGTCTTCCTTCCATTGGTTCATTCCCCAAATGGCTGCCACGGCTGGCGCTGTGCCGATCCGAATCCAGGAGCCAGGTGTTTCCCCCTGGTCTCCCGTGCGGGTGCAGGGGCCCAAGCACTTGGGCCATCCTCCTCTGCCTTCCTGGGCCACAGCAGAGAGCAGGACTGGAAGAGGAGCAACCAGGACTAGAACTGGCGCCCACATGGGATGCTGGCGCCACATGGGGAGGATTAACCAAGTGAGCCATGGCGCTGGCCCCTAGAATATTGTGTAATTTCAGTGTGTCCTAATGAGATCCAAAGGTTGAGGGGGAAAGATGCCTGTTAGAAAGAGATGCAGGGGCCAGTGTTGTGGCATAGTGGTTCAAGCTGCTGCCTGCAATGCAGGCATCCCATATGGGCACAGGTTCTTGTCACGGCTGATCCACTTCTGATCCAGCTTCCTGCTGATATTCCTGGGGAACTAGTGGAAGATGACCCAAGTTCTTTGGTTCCTGCCACCCACATGGAAGAAACTCATGGCTCCTGGTTCAGCCCAGCCTAACCCTGGCTGTTAAAGCCATTTGGGGAGTGAACCAGTGGATGTAAGATCACTTTTTTTTTTTTTTGAAGATTTATTTATTTATTTGAAAGGCAGGGTAACTGGGGGCTGGGGGGAGAGGTGTCTTCCCTTTGCTGGTTCACTCTTTAGATGGCTGAAATGGCTGTAGCTGTGCCTATCCGAAGCCAGGAGGCAGGAGCTTCCTCTGGGTCTTCATGTGGGTGCAGGGCCCAAGGACTTGGGCCATCCTCCACTGCTTTCTCAGGCCACAGCAGAGAGCTGGATTGGAAATGTAGCAGCTGGGGCTTGAACTGTGTTCATATGGGATGCCAGCACCACAGCTGGCGGCTTTACCCACTACACCACAGCGCTGGTGCCATAAGATCACTTCTTGCTCGCTCTCTCTGTCTCTGTGTAACTCTGCCTTTCACATAAACAAATAATTTTTTTAATGAGATGTGATCTGTTAGCTACCTTAGTTCCCATATGGCGTATATAGCATTTGGAAGCAAAATAACTTTGC